CCAAAATCGATCAAAACCATGGGCTATAGTCCATGCTTTTTGCACTAAAATGGCCCAAAATGACCTATTTTTCATCCTTCATAAATAATGCATATTTTATCAAAAGGTATGAAAATGACCCAAAATCCATCAAAACCATGGGCTATAGTCCATGGTTTTTGTCGGAAAATGTCCCAAAATGACCTATTTTTCATACTTCATGAAAAGTTCGTATCTCTTCAAAAGATTGAGTTACAGTCTTTAGACATCATTATTGTTGTCTTTGATATGGACAGTCTTGGTTGACCTCTATTCCCATATCGGTCATCACTGTTATTGATATCTTATTAAGGATATTTAGGTATTAGGTTTTTGGTCATTATTTTTCAAGTAGATTTTTCGATCCACCAATGTAGTAGCTAAAGGGCTTGACTTCTGTCTCTTGGTTATCTTGTTACAAATTCTTTGAATTAGAAACACAGACCAAAGACGTACATTTGAAGGACAACTTTCCTTGAAGGATGTTGTAATATTCCTAAGAGTCATTCACCTAAAATAAGAAAAGAAAGAAAGAGAATCATAGGTAAGAGAATTATAGTAAGTACAAAGCAATTGAATAGTTTTTTATGACTTGGGCTTTTTCAAAATCTCTTGAAGCGAATTAGACATCAATAATATCAATCTGATTTATCGAAGTTATTGGTTATTAAATGTTGTGATTGTAAAGTCTTTCCAATTTAATATTGCGTGATAAATGTGTTCGCTTCATTATTGCACCGAATTCTGTCTTAAAGATATAAACATACTGCTTCTGCTATCGAAAAAAACTGTTATTATTATTATTAGTTAATTGGTGTTGTTCTAACACAACATTGAGGTGCTAATATACTTTCGTATCAACAACGTTTGTGTATTTAAACTTCCAAATACGTAGGTTTAAACTCGAAGAACAAAAAGCAAAAGCGTTTCGTGAAACTTTTATTAAATTTGACAGCCCTTTTTAATTTATCGGGAAAAGGTTTTATACAGAATAAACTGAATATAACAAAAATCATAACAACGAAACCGAAGACGAATTGCTTTTCAAGTTCAAAAATATGTTAGTCTCTCTTATGTTGAATGATTGAGCAGCCGAGACCATGTTTTACAGAGTTGGTTCATTAAGCTGTCGAAAGATAAGAAGCACGTTTGAATGGTTAGGTTACTTTTCTTTTCAACGATTGATCAAAAACCTTACTTACTAGCTATCCTATAATCATACTTAATTGTTCTGTATCTATCCTCTTCAATAATAGTTATTAAACCTCAAAGGAATGCAAAAATGTATAGAATTTTCTAATCGTCTTTACGTACACGATTAAGAATGTTTTAGGAATTTGGGATACCTAGTGAGCCGAGAGTATTGTCGTTCTTCGAGCACGTGCTAATGTCAAAAGGGCGGGAAACGCAGTCCATCTAGCTTGACAAATATGGAAGCAATGTTCTTGGTTCTCGGTGGAAAGTAATTCAGAATCCTTCATTTTTATCCTGACCTGCTTATCATATGATCATATTCACATGCGAATTTGCGCCATATAAGTATTAAATTATCATCATCATCATCATCATCATTATTATCATTATTATTATTATCATTATTATCATTATTATTATCATCATCATTATTATCATCATTATTATTATTATCATCATTATTATCATCATTATTATTAATGTTTATATTAATTTTTGTTTCGATGTTCTTCAGCCATGAAGTCTTTTCTGTGTTATTTGCTGTTTATCGCCTTATTTTCATCTAGTAAAGGTAACAGTTTTGTCAATATGGTGGACGTAATAAATAGGCCAATGTTTTTCCATTTCAGACCACGTGTCATTCCCTAGAGTATGATTTCTTTGTTTGACAGCTGTGCATGAGAAGACACATGGATATAGATACAATCTTATTTCCTAACGAATAACACGTGTTTTGAAATGAGAAACCATAAATAAGAGCCATGTTCGCGTTAAAAAAATAGACTAAAATACCTTGGACTTGAGCTGTCTTTTCCATTCTCCCATCATGCTCCGCCCTTACGCATTAAAGGACTGGAAGCAAATAGAAAAATATTAAAAACAAGAACAGTGGTCATGTGACTCCTTTTTTAACAGCGGTCGATTTTTACATCGATTCTATTGGTGGAAGGTCATGTGACCAGGTTTGTCATCAGTACCACAAGATCTGCACAGGAACTGGACACGGCTTCTCCCCAGTTTCCGCTCGTCCAGTTTTTCATCGGTTAGGAATATCGTGTGGGCCTGAGAACGAGACGGACCATTACGCATCAAGTGACAGTCCTGGATATGTTCAACTGGAAGGAGAATCCTATGATTTGTGCTTTGGCTTCAAAGGAATTCCAGATCAAATTGATTGCTCTGCTGCTGGTGGTAACCTGGATGTAAAAAGGTTATGCCCTTGCGTTCAAGGTATCGATAAAGTTATCAATGCGTTATCATTATAAGCCATTCCGAAGTTGAAGAAAAAACTGGTCGCGTAGATGATGCAGTGGATTGGGACTGTTTTAGGGGACGAAACAGACGCCATTTTGCAAATATGTGCCCTCAAATGGTTCCACAATGTACTGCAATGTCAACTCGACCCAGTTATTTCTTCAACTTCGAAATGGTTAATACCGCTCTTCATTGTTCGATAAACATGATGCATTCTGGTCTAACTTGGGTACAAACGACAACATATAAGGCATGATAAACAGAAGATGTCTGTACCCAAGCTAGACCACAATGCACTGTGATCGCCGGCTTAGAAAAAGCTTAATCATTTCTGCAGTCGTGTAGGATAAACTTTAAGGCCCCGTCCACACGTATCCGGAAATTTTTTTTTTTTTTTTGCGGATACGGGTTGCGTTCACACGTGTCCGGAAATGTTTGTGTCCGTATCCGAAAAATTTTACGAAAACGGATACGTGTGGACGGTGAAAACGATTCGAATATGCTGCGTGTGGACGCAAACATTTTCGTATCCGCAAAAAAAAAAAAAAAAATTGCGGATACACAAATTTCCGGATACGTGTGGACAGGGCCTAAAGCGCAGTATGGCATCAAATGCAATATCAATCCAGTTTTGAGGTTATAAATTCACTTAAGTTGATTTATTTACAGGCGATTTTGTCCAGTTTCAAAACATCCCTACCCTCGAAGGCTGCACAAACGTTGAACATTTTTCAATCGATGACAAGATGTACTTAGCCTTCAGCAGAACGCGTGCATATCGAGTTTATCGAGCTGGAACGCAGATATTCAGGCTAGAAGGAAATACATTTGTACTACATCAAACGCTGAAGTCAACATACAATGGTCCTGAACAGGCAAAGTATTTTCACATTGATGGTCGCCATTATATGGCTATTCCCTACCTCAAGTCCTCCAAGACAGTCATCTTTGAATGGTATAAGAATTACTTTCAAAGTTACCAAGAACTGGAGTGTGGTTTTGCAGCCTTATCGAGTACATTCTTCGAGATTAACTCGTCAAAGTACCTCGCGATTTATGGCTATAATATTTTGTACCTTTACAAGTGGAATGGAATTGATTTTATTAAAGTTCACACCTTAAGAATAACAAAAGCCTTCATTACCGAATGTAAAACATTTCAGCCTCGTAATGATACCTACCTGATATGCGCAGTATGGGGTGGTCTGGAGAAATCGCTGGTGTTCAAGTGGACTGGGACAAGGTTCGTTTATCACCAGGAAATCTTTGGTATTGAGTACGCGTCATCTGCAGAGTTGATCCAATTGGATAATCAAACAAATGCTTTGGTTTTTGCTCAAAGACAGCATGGGTCAGGTCCCGACATGTTAAACGTCAACTCGCCAGTCTACATCTGGAATACCACGAAATCTATGTTTCAGATTGATCGCGCCTTGTCTTTTCCCACACAAGGCGCGTCGGCATGTAGATCCTTTAGGATCGGCGTAGATCTTTACCTCATCGTTGCCCAGTCTGGTGCTAAAGAATCAATAATCTACGGATATAGAGGAGGACGCTTTGTTGTCTATCAAAGACTAAAAGCTGCCTTTGCTGATGATGCTACTGTCTTTACATACAAGAGGATGCATTATATTGCACTGGCCACAAAGAACATGAAATCTTCGCCTGTATTTATTTGGAACTAAACTTTTAGTGACGTATACACATTTGGTCGGTTTTAAGACAGTTTTCTTTTCGCTTTATTGAAAAATGGCGCCCCCCTAAAGCAGCCCCATCATGCAACACGGGTCCTTGCGCAACCTTGGAAAGGCCAATAAGCCAGTTTGTAGTTTAAGAATCGTTTTTAGTGCGAATGCGATTTTATCCCGAATTTCTCAACTTCTTTTGTTTAGTTAAGAACAGAGAAGGTTTAAATAAAAGGTGGGAAATTCGGGATAAAATTGCATACGCACTGAATTAAAACCAACTGGCTTATACGAGTGCACTGTGACCTTTGATAGGGATCGTGGTTTATCAAAAAAAAAGATTAAATAAATAGATATAGAAGTAATAAAGATATTTTCAATATCAAATATTATTTTGAAAATTATTAATGTGTGGTTGACAAATAACGAAGATGAAAAACTGTATTTAGTTTTGAAACATTAAATGGATTGGTGTAAAACTTTAATAGAATAAATGAGTTCTGTGATTGGTTAAAATCACGGCAAAAAGGATATATGGGTTCCTCTTCCTCTGATTGGTTAAATTCCTGACGTCTGTGATAGTTTTGATTGGCCCAAAATTAAGATACCATACAAATATTAAAATGCGCAGCGTATTAAAATTTGATTGGCTAGCAATTGTGTTGTAATATGTAACTTGCACCTTCGAAAATTTGAAAATATTGACGCGAACATATTAAGCTTAATGCTAGTGTTAGGAGGACTGTTCTGCTCTGATTGGTCGAACCGTAACGAAGCGTAACGTATGAATTTTTAAACTCTTTGCATTTCTCAATTTTGTCTGACATTTTCCAAGTTCGTTTCTTCCATAAATACTAAGTTTTCTATTGGTTTAAGTTCGTTCGTGTATGAAAACGCACTCGCAGAGGATCCACTGTGCATTGATTTAGCTTGTCTGTACCACTTGTTACGTAAACACACCGTTACCATCAACAAGACAATAGAAAGTAGCAAAAATCCACCAGACACACCAAGAGCGATCTTGGAATACAAGGAAATGTCTTTACCTTGATCTCGTTGACCTAAAACACGAACAGAGTGTGAAATCAGTTCAAATAAATTAAAAGGGCGCAAGCAAGGGAAAAAGTCACGTGATTTAACTATGACATAATAGCTGCGCAACACTCACATGACTTCAAAAAACCCTATAGATTTCATCGATACCCAAACTCACTCATCAAATAGACCTTATTCATGGTGTGACAATGTTTTCCCAATTCAGCGTGACAAACCTCTGGGGGAATGAAGAGCTATTGTTTTGAAACTCGTCGGGATATCATCGTTATTCCTTTCGTATCCTTTGGGATACTCATGAATTTTTCGAAGAGTAAAAACAAAGGAAAATGAAATCCCCTGGAGGTTCGTCACGCTGAATTGGGAAAACATTGTCACACCACGAATAAGGTCTATTGGATTCAGCGTACCGGAGTGACCCGTAGTAAAACCGTAGCCTTGAATCACCTCGGTCAACGGAGACAAACGAGCTCTGCTGACATTTGGATATTTTCACCAACGAATAAAACCTTTGTACACTATATTTGTAAGCTAAAACTTACCATTAACTTCAGCAGCATTGCCTGAATTTTTGGTCGTCACACAAACCACAGATGTGTCACTCCGATAACCGTCACTGTCACGCTCCGTCACGCTGAGTTTAAACTTATATTTTGTGGCTTCCTTTAGCTGCGAAACGACTGCAAAACTGCCTTCAATTTGATCTTTTCTTGGTAGATACTGGATTGCGTTACCACACGCTGTGTTACACGAAGTAATGCAATCACTAAGTTCCTTGTCACACGCTGCGCATGACACCGAATAGTAAAAGAAGGACGTTGATTGGTTATCTTCTTTGGAAGACCATGAGAGAACAGTGACATCTGATCCAACGAATGAAACGATCAATTTTGGGACGACTGGAAGAATAATATAAATATCATAAGTAAAGTACATATCATGCATGGTTAACAGTCAAGGGAGTGGGGAGAGGCGAGGTTAACCTCTCCCTACCCCCCTTTGTCTTTGGTTTTGCCAAATAATAAAATAATAAAGTAATAATAATATAGTTACCTGGATTAGGGATCGAGGTTGAAACTTCTGTGTAATTATCAGTAACATTGGTTCCTAGTCTACTCACGCCATTTTCTGCCGTGACTCTAAACAAATACGAGAAGCCTGGAGCCAATCCAAATATGGTCACGTGGGTGAAAGGTATCTTATTGGCTGATGGTGTATATCTTAATGTACTCTCACATGATTGGTTACAATACCGTGATACGTTTCTTGAATTATCATAATCTCGTGTGTTGCCATGGTTACAGCGATAACAGTCTATCGAATATAACAGGTCGTTGTGGCCACCATCATTCAGCGGTCTCTGCCATGAAAGGAGTACAAATCTTGGACCAATAAGGGTTGAGCTGAGGTCACGTGGTGACGACGGCGGAGCTGGTTAGTCGATGAGAAACAATCATTGATTACCATGGTAACATTAATAATCACGCATGCGCATTGAAGGTTTTACGGATAATTAGTTAAATACCTGTACATTTGCCATTTGGAGGGTCTGAGTTTGTCCTATAATACCCCATGCTACACAGACAACCAGTTCTCGTCGTGTTAGAGTAGCTGTTCACAGGACAAGGCACACACATGGTGTTTCCAGTTGTTGGCTTGTAAGATCCATCAGGGCACGCTATACAAAGTAAAAAACACTGAATAAATATATACCGTACTATAAGCCCTACCTTCACGAGCGGCACATGATGGGCAGGAGAGGGACTCGAGTTTGAGTTCGATGGGCTGTAAAACAGGTTATAGAGCTAGTGGTCTTCATGCACGGCAGCCATTTTGTAGGTCAGAAAATATGCTGCAGTTTAGCTTGGGTACAAGAAATATCATCCAAAGCATGATAAACCAAATATGTTTGTACCCAAGCTAGACCACAATGCACCATGTTCCCTATCTCAGAAAAGGACACGACATTAAAACGATTTTATTTTTTGCTCCAACATGGCTAACGTGAAACTTCTCCCTCCTAACACTGACTTAACTACCTTGACAGACACGATCTCCAGGCTGGTATCCCGCCTTGCACTGACACGTGACCCGCAGATTGGAACTCCACGTGCCGTTGCTATAGCAACCGAGGTATAAAGAGCTCCCATTGGCGAGGTTCTCTGACATACCAAGACATTCACCCTTCACCTGTGAGAAGAAGGACGACCCACACAAGACCAGATTAAGCGTTGAGCAGTACTACAGTACAAAATTGCATCGAAGCAAGAATGGCGGTGACCTTGCAAAGACCTTTTGAACACCTTGAACAATTATTCACGTCTTTATAATCGCGAGGTCACCACCGTTCTTTGTTCGATGCACAGGAACTGTGAATGGGACTATTCATAAAACATCGCTGTGTTTCTTGATTGCAGACTCAATTACTCAGAGTTAGCCTCGAATCAGTGTCTAAATATTCACAAATACCAACGGTAAAGTAAAGAATGTACAACTTCAACAATACAAACATCTTGAAACTCGACGGACCTTGACTGGAACATGTGAATATTCTACACAAACTCGAGGCTAACCTGAGCAACGAGCACTCGAAACTGAAGTGTTAGTGTTCGGTTGGCAAAAATTCCACAGACCGAAAATGACGTAGGAATTCATAGTCCATTTTCAGGTTTACCTTGGTTTTCAGACCAGGCATCGGTGACGCTGTCTTATTGAACACAGCTCCCCCAGACACTACGCTCGGACATTGATATGACGTCATACGGACCTTAACCAAAGCCACGCATGCGCCAGTGTCCCGAAAGGCCAAATAGATGCCTTTTTTCGTCGTGGGAAAGCTTACGTTGTGCACATTTTCAGGAATGTTATTCCTATCAGTCCAAACGTTTGATGCAATCGCGTCAGCAACATTTGAGAAATTTCCCGCCAAAATCGCTTCCATGGTAATCCCGCCTACTTCGATAATATCAGACTCTAGGATGTATAGACCAATAGAATTCTTGCAGAAGGGATACGAGGCGAGATCGCAATGGCGGGCGGTGAATGTGATAGATAAATGTACGGCGTTAGCGTTGTTTAGAGGGACGTAGTCGGAAATCATCCAACTATTTGTACTGTTGGTCTTTGTGGACGGGATGTCACACGTGATGTACTTTCCTGTTTGGGAATCGCGAGCCCACTGAAAAGACAAGGCAACATTATCAGATATCAAACCTTCTGTTTCCCATTCTTTTCTCATGTATACGTGACCAATGAAAAATGACTAAAGTATAAGCAGTACGTGCTGGCTAAAGGACACTCGAGACGATCACTATGCGAGAAATAACTGTAGCTTTACAGTCATTGTCACGGCACGCAGTCCTTCTCGTGAGAGTAAAAGGTCATTATACAAGTAATGACAAAAGAGTACTTGTATAGAAACCTAGCTTTAACACCTCGTGTATAAACAGTACGGTCATGGTGCAGGCTAAAGGACACTCGATCCAATCACTACGCGAGAAATAACTGTAGCTTTACCGTCATGGTACGGCACGTATATAGTCCTTCTCGTGAGAGTAAAAGGTCATAATACGATCAAGAAACAAAACAATACTTGTATAGCAATCTAGACTTTAACACCTCATTTGAAAAACAATAACACTAATACAAAAAAAAAAAGTCTTTAGAGCCATGGATGTGGAAGAGAAAGTGAGCAAGCAGGCAAGCAAATGGGAAGGGTATAACTTTTCACGACTGGATACATGTACGAACAAAGCCGAGCTCTGCCCAGGACTAGCAAACTAAGAATGTTTTTCAACACTCAAGCATGTTGCCTGTTTTTCTTGCTTTTTACATCCTGTACTCGAGTAGTGTTTATGTTACAGAATCATAGTCACGCACAGAGATGGCCAGTAATTTAAGTCGAGTAAAGACGTATGTATTGGCCAAACAATGCTTTCCCTAGACCAAGAAACAGTGCCACGATCAGCAGAATAAAGAGGAGAAACCAAATATCAACTAAATAGGCTGACATGCTGACAATATCACGATTTGTTGATATAGGAACTACGCGCCCTGTCAAGTAGCCTGCTGTAGACTCACTATACTTTAGCACTGAATAATGCTCCAATATTAAAACTTAACGGTCCTTTTTTTTAAAGCTTTTCTTTCCTTTTTCGAGTAGAATCGCTCTCTCCAAACCTATGTCAAACTAATTTTATAATATAATTTTTTAAAATAATAATATTGGCCAGATTCGATTAACCTGATAAACGTTAGAGTGTGTGAAAGTGTTGTTAGCATGAAGAAAACCGAATTGAATCGTAGCTGGTATTGGCACACTTTAGAACATCAAGTTTATCATGGTTCTATAAGTAACATACTTAATTGAGCGAGTTAATTTTCGATTATTCCCCACAAACTGTTATATTATCATTCTTTCCATCACTTGGTCTGCAACCTTGGATACCTTTCGAACTCGAACACAGATAATCCCGATGAAATCAAATTCAAATGGCCAAAAAAAATTTAACTTATGAATAATCTCGAATAAAAGTTACGAATTTGAGAATGATTTTCGTTACTTGATGTGTTTCGTGGGATAAATATTTTGCATATTTTAATGTTTCAGCTGAAGGTTTCGGTAAATAAACCGATGTGACGCTTATTTAAATCTCTGTTTTTACAACTAGTAATGTTTAGCGATAAATGCAGCATTTTAGGGAAGTATTATGGCTTTTAAGGAATTATCAAAAAGTGTCATACTTACTCCGTTCCCTTCAGCTAACCTATACTTCGTTACCCATTGCCAAGCTGGGTCAGTGTAAGCATAGTTCATGAGTATTTCTAAACAATAAAACAATATGTACAACGTTAGAAAAATAGTTTATAAGCTACCATATTAATACCGAGTCTTACCTTCGTATCCAAGTACAGCAGCGACTGTTCTAGCGACCACGAGAGCGAGAAAAAGAGAGTTTTTCTGGCTGGGATACATCGGGTCTTCGTAGACTTTAGCTGTACTTTTTGAAGTTCGCTTTATTCAGCTGGTTGTCGTATGCAAAAGGTGAAAATTTAGTCTCTGTCCTTAAACCAACTTGTATGAAGGCTATCAAGAAGTAAACAGCCAATTTCCTTCTTTTTATGGCGTTTAAAATCTCATAATAGAAAAATCAGTTTACATTTTATGAGTAACAATAACTTTGTATTGGTTTAAAGTTCAAAAATGTCAAGAAATAAGTTACTCATTTTCAAAACCTCGTGTAAAAATATCATACATCTTTACCAGAAATAATTCAAATCTGTGTCCATTCTAGAAACCAAATTTCAAAAACTTGATAGCTAAAAGAAGCTGTCGCTATATTTTTCCACTTTTCCAAAAGCGTGTGTCACTCGACCTCAAAATTCTCTCTTACTATTCTTATATTAAAGTTAAACATTACAGCATGATGAAGTGTCACATTGTGATAGCCGTACGTACGTATAGTAAGCCGACAATAGGAGGTTTAACACCCTTAATTCCTTTTAATGACTTCGGTGGTTTTAGTGTCTTTGAGGTGTCGGTCTCTTTTTTGGATCTTTGCAGCTACGAAGAAACGCAAATAGGAGATTTTTTATTGATTTTTGGGAGAATGCTTTCATTCTTTACTGGTATACTTAGTATTATATTTTTTAAGTTTAGCTCGAATAAGTGTTATTTTGGGTCAGTTTTTGGCCCACGCAAGATTGATCGTGTATAGTTCGTAGCAGGATGTTGTTTTGCATTTCTGCGAGTAAGGCAACAGTAGAGCCTCTTTCTTCTCTTGTCGCTCATCACGCAGAAACAGGAGAGGAATGCGCTAGGGGTGATGGGAATGAAAAGGAAGGAAAGTGGGAGAGACGTATACGGGTAGAGGAGAGGAGAGGAGAGGAGAGGAGAGGAGAGGAGAGGAGAGGAGAGGAGAGGAGAGATTAGTGAATCAGATCGGCTTTTTCTTGGTGTTGCAATGCACCTGAGCCATGAAGATAACATAACAATACCCAAGGATAATGAATCTGGAGCTAACTGAAAACCCTGCAAAACAAAAACCCTAACCCAGAATACAATAAAGCTTTCTACTGAGAAAGAAAGACCCTCTTAACATTAACGTCTAAACCAACCCAATTTACATTAGACTTTTTCTAAAAACCTGTCATAACAAATCAAACATTTTGTTCCGTGCTACGACGCTCGTTTATAACACCTCGGTCCATGACGTCATACTCATCCAATATTAGCAAAGATCACATCTCTTTGTACATATGTACAATGACTGAGAGTATGAAATACGCCTATTTCAAAAAACGAAAAAAATTCGTTAGCGCCAAAGGTGATAGGCGATAGGTCTTTCCAACATGGAAACGGGTTTCGTTGAATACAAAGAACATTGAATCAGTGTCAACACTAAGGTCCATGTTCTTGACGAGAATAAGAAGCAGAAACACAAGTCATTCCAGCTATTCTTGGATCTTCGAATGACCTATCTCCTATAGCTTTTCATCTATTGATTTGGCGATGACAACGTTTATTGAAATTGTTGTATATATTTTACTGACGTCTGATTAAACCAGCTTTCTCCAGAGGCCAATTCATATTATCGATCGTCATTCGATTATTGACTTTGATCGAACGTTCTGGAATGCTGAAGTATACGTTTCCATGGTAACAACGTGACGTCATTTTACCTTTTTTTTCTTGGCGTCCCTGTGTTACTACAAAAAGTCATTAGATCACCTATGGGTAACACAAGCTCTGGTTTTGGCAGCCTTTTATTGGCCAAGGTTCCAATTATATATTGAGAAATTTGGAATTTGAATATTATGCCATATATATTCCCTACAATAGCTATTCCGAGGTTGAGGACGTAAAAAACCTGGGTAAAGTTGGCATTGCAGTGCATTGTGGGACTATTTGAGGGGACATATTCCCAAGATGGCGTCTATTTCGTCCCCTCAAAAACAGTCTCACAATGCACTGCAATGGCAACTCGACCAGGCTTTCATCAACCTCACGATGGCTACTATAAGATGAATGATAAATATGTGGCATAATTTTTAATTTTCGAATTACTCAAAATATTTACGTTCTAGACCTGGTCACCCAAGCCAGTGTCTCTGATAGTGTTCCATGTTTTACCTTCCACTGAGTCGCAAGGGACCACCATTTTACACCTGGTCAGCCCAGCCAGTGTCTCTGATCGTGTCCCATGACTTACTATCCACTGAGACGCAAGGGACACCCATTCTACATCTGGTCACCCCATTCAGTGTCTCTAATCGTATCCCATGGTTTACCTTCCACTGAGACGCAAGGGACACCCATTCTACATCTGGTCAGCCCAGCCAGTGTCTCTAATCGTATCCCATGGTTTACCTTCCACTGAGACGCAAGGGACACCCATTCTACACCTGGTCACCCCAGCCAGTGTCTCTGATCGTGTTCCATGGCTTACCATTCACTGAGACACAAAGGCCGCCATTCTATACCTGGTCACACCAGCCAGTTTCTATGGTGTCTCATGGCTTACCAACTACAGCGCAAATCAACCGTATCTGTGTTTTTTAAGCAGAGAAAACATTTCTATGTCATTATGTCTTATCCCTTAATAAAGCCTTTGTTTACACTGCTGACGTACGACGTCACACGAACACGTTTTTAATATGACAATTGATTTGTCATTACTACTTGCTTTATTACTATGAAGCTCTGTAAAAGAGCCTAGAAACCCCTCCAAGGAGTAAGCTATCTTTTACCACACGTATTAATCGTACATTTTGAAGAATGAAGTAGGTTTCTTCTTTCAAATGATTGCTGTCAATAGAGACCATGATGATCCCGCCAAGCAATGGTTTCAAGGTCAGTTGGTTTGTAGTTTGCTTCCAAGTTTTGCTAGCGTCTTTAAATGATTGGTCTATGGCTGAAACCGGTAAGTAACTAAAATACGAACTTTCACAGACTTCTTTTCAATAAGACCTGCCTTTCTATTTGACAAACGAGCTGAATTGCAATAACTTTTGTTTTTTAGGTGTGTTGCTACACAAACAAGACAGCGATGCGAAATGGCAATGGATAACAATGTACAAAGTCGGTGCTGGATCTGGGGTAAGTCTTTTCTTGATATTCCGATAAATAGTAATCGATACATATAATTTGAGGACACAAATTTAATGCAATAAATTAAACAAGTGCTTGAAGGAAATGGTATTAGATTGATGCTTATTAATTCCTCTTTAACGATTAAAAATCAAAATCTCGAAAGATTAACATCAGAATCAGTATCCGATAAGAACTCGAAATAGGTAATCAACTTCCAGTTTTAAATCTCTATTTCATCCAGGAAGACTTCAATCGAAGAAAGAAAGCTAATCATTAAAACAAAACCAATAATAGATTCAAGAAGTCAACACGTTTGAAAAGCAACAGCGTCGTTTGTCATCATTTAGTCGAATTCAAACAAAGTACGATCAAAAAGTCAGTCAGGTCGTGTAGTTTTTGACTTGAATGTAAATACCGATTCAACCGTTTTTTCTAGGAACATCAGAAAAAATCTTATATATAATAGGTCGTTAAGTCGCAGTCTGCAGTAACGAAGTCGTCTTAGGAATTTAGTTTCTAGCTAATTAAGCAGCAAAACTTGACGGCTTATTGCCATAATAACGAAATTTATCATTGAACGAAAAATGAAAAAAAAAACAAAAAAAACTAGAAGTTCTTGGGAATTAATTTTCAAATGATTTACTTTTTCCTAACATTTTTCATTGAGGAAGATTTAGCGATTGTTATCTTCGTTATCGACATCAAAATAATCAAAAATTATTCATAGTAAAGAGGTGTAAATTTCATAGGGTAAATAGAAAACTTAGTTTCTTAAAATACAAGATTTCGAAATAGTTTATGTTGAAATGACTTATGGAAACTTGAAAACTTTAAAAAACTTTAAAAGTAATGAAGTTTTTTCGTAAAAGTAGAATTTTTCAAGAGTAATTTTAACAATTAGCATCGTTTATTGGAAAAGTAGTACTTCTCTTTTGTTGTACCTTTTGTTAGAAATTGTTTTTGAGAATGTATAATTATTCTGACGAATAGTTTCGTAGTTCTAAAAACGAGGAAAAAGCAGCAAAGTTTTGAGGGGCTAAGAAAATACATCTTAAAAGAATTTTTTTTTAGTTTTAGTTAAGAAGGAATGCAATTTTTCGTTCCGACAAAAGCGTTTTCAATCTCAATCCACTTTATACTGAATAAAGCCTAATGATCTAGACCATAATAGGAGATTAATGACGTCACAAAGACATAATAATTGATGTGTTAATAATAACTAATTGAATAGATCGATTTTCACTTGACGGCTGCGCAGCCTCGATATGTTTATTATCCAGTAAATAAAAATAATTATTTCTATATTATTATCCTACAATCCTGGACAAAAGTCAATGGTACACTTGAAAAGTCAACGCTAAATTTTTAACCATTGTCTTAATATACATAATTTCTCAATGTTTACACGCCATTTCACSAATGAGGCTCCCCCCCTCACCCGACTCAATGTTAGTCAAACCACACATCATTCCAAACGCCCCGCTTGCCCCAGCATTGATTTGGGGGAGGGAGGGGGAGGAGAAAAGAACGATTTCATGTAATTTTATGTTGCTGTCCCAATACTTTCGTCCAGGATTGTAGCTTTCTCGCGCGCATTCGTTGCGCGGCCGTCTGGTCAGATACTTTGAACACTATAGTGTTCGCTCTGTCTATTGAGCTAGTGCGTCAAGGTTAAAGCATGTGAAAGAAAAACCGGTGAAAAATTCTTAAAGTACGAGAGAGAACGAACAAGCAACTCTACTCACGYTCGATTGTGGGTCAAGGGATTGAACCCATGACTAGCAACAGTGGTGAGAGGCGATACATTAGCAGGGCCTGTCAATATTGACATTTACATATCGTAATATTGATTGGAGTCTTTTTCCTTTCAGTGGTCGCGTCAAGGCAATCCTGRTAGATACGTAGTGTGTGATATCCCATCGACTCGGACCAATAACACTAACAGCTGGTTGGTATCAGATTTCATCCAATCAGAAGGCGTACAAGAAGTGGTTACGAGTCTAGCCTTCACTACAAGACAGTGTCCCAATTCCTACCCTTATTGTGTACAATATTTCAACTTATTCGCCTTGTTTACTGATAATGAAATTGCTGGAGGAATTCCATCAACTTTCGTAAAGGAAGGAAAACTTAGTTTTATCGCTAACGTGACTGGTAGCGTGACATGGAACGGAAGCGTCACGCCTCAAGATAATAAAGTAAACGTGACGTTTTTACTTCCAAAGAAAGGCTTTTATCTCGCATTTCAAGACATAGGAGCCTGCATATCACTAAGAGAGGTTATCATCACATACAAGTATTGCCCTCTTGTGACAACCAATGGCGCGACGTATAATAGAACCTTTTCACCAGCTTTGCGTGACCGTGACAAAAATGTGACAGGAAAGTGCTTAGATAAGTCATCAGTTTATTCGAGGAGTTCGTTACTTGTTGGGAAATGCCAGGGAAACGGTGAATGGGAAATAGATAAAGATGCAATGTGCCTTTGCAATCCTGGGTTTGAAATGCATCTTGGAAAGTGTAGAGGTAAGTAATAAAACGCGAGAGCTTCGAAATACACCTATAATATAGTTCCTTCGCGATACYGTTCCCTTACAATGCTTCTAAATAAGAGATGCCGGGATATCGTGACGTCATATTGTTACGTCATAAGCCAGAGTTTGGTTCCGATAGAAAATGAATGTAAATTTAGCACTTATATTCAAAACTGAACTAGAAAGTCGAACGGTTGGTGGTATGAAACGAAGACCTTAGTCTTCGTAGCTGTGCAGAGGAGTATTGAAACGGGGGAGGGAAGTAGAAGACGGGAACCTTTGCATTGTTCCTGCCCTTCTCTCCTCTTCTCTCCCTCTCGGTGCCGGTTTGAGCAAAAAATTATTAAATAATACGTGAAATACGTCCAATTTCCTTTGACTATTTTTTTCTCTCCTTTTTTTAAAGGTTGCCCTAGCGGAGCCTACAAGAGTAGTCACAGTAACCATGTATGTAGCCAGTGTGCGAGCCACACCTATCCATCCATGTCACGTGATAGGTGTGACTGCGATAACGGATACTACAGGGCTGTGGATGATCCTAAAAATAGCTCATGCACAGGTAGGTACACGGTAGTTATGGAAACCATGTAWATGTGAAATTACACGATCCTGTTGTCACGTGATACGTCTTGACAACAATTAAAAAAAATAAAATTTTAACACTATTTTTTTTTTAAACTTTTTCTTTCAGCGCCACCTAGTTCTCCGGTAGACATAAAAACGAGTTTCAAAGCACAAAACGTTGCCATAGTGATATGGTTACCACCAATCAGCAATGGAGGACGTAATGATATCACGTATGACGTCATATGCAAGCAATGCACCAGTGGTGTCTGTGCTGTACCGTGCGATGACGTATCATTTTGGCCAGCGAATCAGAGCCTTTCATTTACCCACGTGACAATTACGGGTGTTAAATCGCGATTGTCGTATCGCATTACCATATTGACAAAGAATGGTGTCAGTGATGTTGCGGGCGTAAGTTACCATAGCAACGCCAGTGTTATGCTAACAATCCCAGAATACACCTCGAACGTTGGTAGGTATTTGTCTACATAATAATTAATAGTAGGTCTTATATTGCAAGTAAACTATCCCTTTAAGTTATATGCTACGTCACAGCCGCCATTTTGGATGGAAACTCATTCAACATGGCGACCATAGGTTTTCTCCATTTATCCTTTTCTGCGAGTGCTTTCACCCCAAGGATACTGAAGAATGGGTCTATTATAAGAAAGTTTTTAGCATTTAAAGAAATATCCCCTGAGAGAACTATGCTTTCTTCAAAGTGGGCTTTCCTCAAACACAGCCGTTGATCACGTGCCAAGTCAAAAATTGGCAAACGGCATCATATTTTAACTACCACTTATTTTCCAGGAACAGCAGCAGAGATTTCCGGCGACRATTCCAGGAAGACCAACACAGCCATTGGTGTATCTGTAGCCTGTACTTTTCTTTTTTGTCTCATCGTTGGGTTTCTGCTCGCCGCATTCTTCATCCATAAACGAAAAGAGAATAGAGTTCTTTTTAGTGCTAGCGGAAGAAACAACGACTACGAACGACAAAGGAATGTAAGTCAGGCAACAAATGAAACAGAACTACAATCAGTAGAACAAGACAGCAATGTGAACTCGTTATCCAGCAACTTTGACATCCAAAAAGAAACCCTTGATATTTCTGAAGTCGAAAAAACTGTTCCCGAAGTCAAAGTACAAAGATCGACATCTCCAGGTGTTCAATGTATTGTGAACGAGTGGTGTCATGAAAAAACAGAAGACGAATCAGGTGTGCAAAGCCAAAAATTAGAATGTCAGACAAAACCAAAGACAGGCAGTTGTGTGTCTGTTAGAAGCTGGTTTCCACAACAAGACGTCCAGTATGGAATATAGGAGTAAATAAGTATATAGGTAATAGGAAGTCAAATGAGTCAGTTGATAATGAAGTCAGTTCTTAATTGAAGAATTGCAAAAACAGGTCTCGTGACCCTATTTCCGTCTCAAATAAACACTAAAATTGTAAATAAGCCGAATATACTCAAATTAACCGTCTTAGCTCGTAAGGTATCTAAAATGGGGACAGTTGTCTTAGCTATTTTCCTAATGGCTCCAAGCATGCGCAATGCAGATTATAAGTATTGTAAATGTATATGATTACCGGTGTACGAATTACCATTCAATTTCCGAAGACCATAATAGTCTCCTTYACAGTTCCCTGCGCCATCTTGAAAGGTAGCCGTGCTTTTGACAATTATTCACGTCTCTATCATTACAAGCTCACCGTACTTCTTCGATGCAAAGGCACGGCTACCTTCAAAGATGGCGCAGGGAACTGTGAAGRRGWCTATTAGTCTCGTAAAGCATGTTGTAGCTATTTAAGGTTTCAATTGCTACTACTAAAAATATAAATTATCAATCAATAATTAATTTAATTACTAATTAGTTAATAACTATTAATTACATATCATATCTTTTTGAAAAACATATATCAACAATAATTATTCATTAATAATTATTAACTAATTATTATTAAATCAATTGATCATCACATGTTATATCTCCTTGAAGAAAAGTATGATATCAATAATAATAATAATAATAATGTAACAAATTGAGTAATAAAATACCACAAAATAAAACTTTCTTTTTAAAAAACTGTTTTATTCAATTCCGACAAGCTACTATTATTAATATATTATTAACAGTGACAGGTCATCTGTATACCTAGAACAACATCCTAAACATCAGCACTGTCTCACAAAATACATCTCAAACTACCGACCTGAATATTTTTTATCACTAAGAAATTTAGGCAACCTAAAGAAATTTTACAATTATCAATTCACATTTTTTTAACAATATTCTTTATATTTTTAGAGACAGAATATTTCTTCTTTAGATGTTTTATTTGATTTAGGGCTTTTTGCTTTGAAAAAGCAAACTATAGGACCACTAGTTTTTAATTTTTAATTTTAGAAATTAACATATAAGATTACGAGATATCTCTGCAATGAATAGCAACCAGGAGTTTGGGTCAAAGCGAAGCTCACTTTGGTCACAAAGACCGGTTACCTTGGTTACCTGTTTAAGTGTATTAGAAAATATAGTCTAGACTGAGTAGCCAGGCTTTTTGTACAATGAGCCTGTACAGGGTGCACACAGGTATTCTCTAATCTTTTCCAAGATCTTTGGACTTTTCAAGGAGGGCAAAGACAGCAAAAAACTTCTCATTTCATATCAGGAAGCGGACCAATGAGCAGAAACACTCATGAAAATACTAAAATACTCCTTTTCTATTGCAAATTCTAGGACATTATCCGATAAAAACCAAGGACAAATTACAAAAAAGTTTACTTCAAGTGGTTTTCAAGGAAATTTCATGTCAAATTCAAGGAATTTCCAAGAACCTGTGTGCACCGTGCTTTAGGGAGAGAGAGGGGGAGAGAGAGAGAGAGAGAGAGAGAGAGAGAGAGAGAGAGAGAGAGAGA